TATTTCCTCGAAAACATGTCTAAAATTGTACATGATGGATTATATACCTCTTCAAACATAAGCATCAAAGAGTCACCACCATGCCCGGTTCCAACTCAAGCACTTTTCTTCATGGTTCCAGCTCAAGCACTTTTCTTCACTTCAGCAGACTTGATAATGTCATTGAACTCCGGCTAATGACGGCAGCACAGTGAAAGGGAAATGTCAGGGAAATCAACCGGTAGGGAAAAGACAAGTGCAACGAAATATGTTATATAACTAGTAATCAGCACTACCTTAAGAGAAGCACCACCAACCAAAAAGCCATCAACATCAGGTTTTGCTGCCAATTCCTTGCAGTTTGCACCATTTACCGACCCTGAATCAGGCACAAATTTAAGCAAACATACAAGGAAAATTGGGGAGAAAATTAAACACTGTTTTGTAAACTCCCATTAAGAAACCAGAATGAAAGCAAAAATAAGCCAGCAGCAAGAGAAAAGGCACGTTAGCTTTTCAGATATTGTTCTCAACACTACAGTATCTTCTTTATCTAGATGCAAACAAGGTGCAGTGCGCTCAGCCTTGCAAAAGCTTCAGGTACAATCAATTCCCAGAGTATTGCAATGGTGCAATGGTGCCAATGCTACGATCAGATAGATCAAGGGCTGAATAGTGATCCATCTGGACCAAGCAAGGTATAACCCCTTATGCTTCCCTAAGCACGTTTCAATGTGTTTGTGTTGAAGAAAAATGAGGTCATAGCACATTCACTTCAGTATTTTATGCAGGCATCTACCTCATGTTACAGAATGAGTTATTTAATGGGTAAAGTTGGATTTCTTTATTTTCAAAAGATGTGAAAGTTTTATTAACCAACATATGCATCTTATATACCAACAAGAAACGATAAAAAGCAATCAAGAAAATAGACAGATTGGAAGTAGCATTAACAAATGAAGATACCTCCATAAATAATCCTGGTTGTCGCAGCAACTTCAGGGCTGGTATTTTCTTGAAGCCATTTCCTCAGTTCATAATGCACCTATTAGATTAATAAGCCAGAGTTTCAAGAAACTAATCATGGGAAACCAACAAACTAGATGCAATCACAGATTAGCTGGTGTTCATCATGCAGGAAATAACCCGAGAAAGTGGGCAGTTATGAAAAAAAATCAACAATAATGGGGCAAAAGCACCATTCATCTGCTATAAATGAGCTAATACTATGAGATTGGAAGTTCATGGAAGCTAAAAGATTTTGAGTTCTAAGCAAACAAAGTTATCTTATCTTAGTACCCTGTACACCCAAATGTAGGGTTTGCAAAGAAGAGACTTGATTGTTATCATTTTCTGAACTTACAAAACAGAAATCATAATCAATTTCCATTCAAGCCATTTCCCTAGAAAACAAACTCCGCCAACAACTTTCTATGTCCTTATGCTCAATTTAATAGCGCAATCTGAATTATTGTGGTACAGGAAATAATCAATAGTTGTTCGATGCCCTGGTTTTTGTACTTTGTGGAAAGCTTGGTGCATAAAATGAGCATAATCTACATCAAGAAAACCAGGTTTGGACTTACCTCCTGTGCCTGAGCAGGAGTTGCAACCTTCCCTGTTCCAATAGCCCACACAGGCTCATAGGCCAAGACAACATCAGCCCAGTTTGATACTCGCGCTGCAATAAAAGCAAATTTGAAAATCATGACACTGCAAAACTCGTTACAGTTAAGACATTGTGAAGGTTGCAAGACATATAAAAGAATCCACATGGTGATATGTTCCAAATTAATGAACAGATCTGCTGAAAAAGGTATGCACATATGGAGTCCCTTGATATGATCAAATTGCGATCAAAATTCAATTAACTTTATGATAAATACAAGTTCTCCGAACGTTGTTTTTAAGGTGCATTGCAGAATTGGAACTCGGAGAAAGAGACAGAGTTGAATTCAAGTTCATCTAAAATGTGTGAGCAAGTAATCACTGTAAACAAAGAACATTGCATCACTGTGAACCAGAGTACGGTATTTCAATTGATAAGAAAACAATGATTCTGCATAACCGACTAGCAATAGATTAACTTAATCAACAATGTTCCACCGCCATATAAAGGCCAGAGACTTCTTACGCAGAAGATTTACACAATCATGTACAACATCATAGAACCACAAAATATTTTTTTTTTAAGGATACTATCAATAGAATACCTGCAATTGCTTTGGTTTGTGCAGCAACAACCTCCGTGGTAGATCCTGCTTCCCGCTGCTCAAGAGTCTCACCAACACAAGCTATCACCTTCAACCCTTGAGATAGTGCATATGCAACCTTATCACCCACAAACTAAAGGAAACACACCCAGAATGGGAAGTTACTACATGATTTAGTTATCAAAAAAATAAGCATCTTCAAAAGTATTGGCAATAGGAATTATCCAAAGATAAGTGTTTACTATGCCATGTAACACAACTTACCTCATTTGATTCATTTAGAAGACTTCTCCTTTCGGAGTGACCAAGAATGACCCAGGGAATATCCAGATTCACAAGCATCTCGGCACTGCACACATCAGCTTCAGCTTTAGACATTCAAATCCCGCAGAAAGATTTAAACCAGTTAAAAAGCGAAAAAGACGACATGTTGCAGCTAATAGAAATTATTTGCATCAAGCTTAAGAATACCTGACTTCACCGGTGAAAGCACCTCCTTTCTTAACCCAACAATTTTGAGCCGCGACATGAAAATCAGGCCTCAACGTACTTTTCACCAGAGGGAGAAACACAAATGGAGGGCTTACAACAACCTCTGTAGAAGAAGATCGTACCAATATCCAAACAGATCATGGTTAAGAATACCCCAAGTGTTTTTGTTGATGCGATTTGCGTAAACCAGAGCAAGAGTAAGGAGCATACACTTACCAACAACATCAGATGAAGGTACTTGGGAATTGTTGAGGCTTGACACTATCTTCTTCACTTCTTCGCTGGTTCCATTCTGCATCCAGGACCAAAAAAAATCAACAATAGAAATAACAGAATAGCAAGTAAAGCATGGAAGAAAATGGGACTCACGCATTTCCAGTTTCCGCCAACAAAGAACTTCCTGGCCATTGTAGATCGTGGAGTACTGATCGAAGCAGAAGAGAATGGCTTTTGATTTTTAGTTTTGATTTACAGTTGCGGATTTTGTTTTAAATTTATGGAGTTTTTATTTATGGAATCGGATCGAACAAGGTGCTATAAATCTGTGGGAAATTGATTTACTATTTTAGCCTCGGATCTATTTGGAATATGCTGTGGGAATCGGTGGTTTTGATAAGGGTTGTTTTGGGAATTGAATCGAAGAGTTGTTCGGGCCCGTGGATTGATGCGTCATGGTGAGTGGGTGCTGTGCTGCGCTGCGCTTAGGGATTGGGTCATCTTGCATTTTTACGGGCCACTCAAATTGTTTGGTGCGTTGATGAGTCATTTGTCATGCGGGCCATAATTTTTTACGCATTATATTTTAGTCGGGGATTCAAAAAAATAATTCTTATTGAATATTACAGCATCTGGTTGAGCTATTTCTTGAAAATGTCACTTTTGTCTCCAAAACTCTGAAATAGTTTCATAGAATAAACTAAATGCGAACAAAAAAATGTTTGTAGAATATTTTAAAAACTATTTCAGAATTCCCTGGTTTTTATTTGTTACCAAGAATTTTTGTAGAATATTTTAAAAACTATTTCAGACTTCCTCCCTGGTTTTTATTTGTTACCAAGAATTATTTTTTTTGAAAAAAAAAACAAAGACAACAAAGTTGTTGCAACGAACTGATTTGGTTGCGACGATTTGGCCGGAAAAATTACGAAAACTGCTGCTAGCAGTCTAGACGTGTGTTTGTAGGTGTATTGATGTTGTTTTGGAATGTGTGTTTGCTAGCAGTCTTCCTCCCTCGAGCCATGCTCTCTCTCTCTCTCACACACACACAACTTTCTAGCTATGAAAATGAAGTCTTTGATTCCCTCTCGCAATGATGCTGTAAAAAAAATAGAGGAACAAAGATTCCATCGTTCAAAAAGAAGCTCATCGACTTCTTCGGCTCCAGGATTTGGGTGTAGGTGCGCAGCTGATGGGGTTCATCTCAGGTTCGCCGTCGATGCCCAGAATGTGACCGTTTAAAACATCGTTCATCGCTAGTGACAAATAAAAATAAAAGCAAAAAGGGTGGTTTTAGCTCCAGTTCCAAGCAAACCAGTGTAAATAAACAAATATGAGAAAACAAATTAATCACCAAAAGGAGGGGAAAAAAGCTAGCAAGGCCGGGTTAGCTTATTAAAATTCTTGACTCGAATTATGCACTACTAAAAATGTGCAGAGTCAGCTAAGACAACAGCTCGTGCAACGCACATGTCTTCTATTTTTTTTTTTTTAATATTCATGAAAATATCAAACTTCCACCATATATGCTTAGCATAGATCTCGTAGACAGCGACTAATCAAATTTCAATGGGCTAATGAGACTCCAACTGTTTTAAATGGACCCAGTAATCAAAACCCGACAATAAAAGAACGTCGGACAAAATTAATCCATGGTTTTAACATAACCTAAATAAATATTTTTAAGAAAAATAAAATTTTTATTATAAATTTTTATTTTTAGATTATTTTGATGTATTGATATTAAAAATAAAATTTAAAATTTTAAAAAATATTATTTTAATATATTTTTAAATAAAAAACTTTAAAAAATAATGCTATTACAAATGCAGCGCTGACAGCCCAGAGTTGTGTTCGCTATCGAGTACAGTAACATCGTTCCATTTGACAGCAAGCCGAGCTTACTCTGAATTGTTAATTGGATTGTTTGTTGGTTCACAAAAGCAACGACACCAAAACGGGCTCGTATCTATCTAACATTCTAACTAGGTAGCTAAAAGACGAAACCAAATGGGCCAACAACCAGAAGCCCAAACTTCTTAAACGCGTGGCAATTTTAAACCCACCTCTGGCGCCCCGCCGAAAAAGAGTTCGAAACGCCTCTCCTTAGGTTTCTCACTTTACAGACCCCCCCTCTCCCCTTCCAAATCACCACTTTTGCCTCCCCCAATCCGCAATTGCACCAAATAATATCTAACCAGACCCTAGATCTGCCCACAGTCGCAGAAATGGCCGGTCAATCTGACTTAAACATGTCTCTATTTTCTCCTGAAGAGGTCCCTTCCCTTCTCTCCACACACGATTTACAGATTTATGCGTGGTTGTTTATGCTTGGCTGCTGTTTTTTTTTTCACAGATTGAATTCATGGCAGAAGATGAACTAGTGGAGATTGTTCCGAATTTGAGGATGGATTCTCTCAATTTTATTTGTGTAATCTCTCCTTAGCCATCTCTTATACGCATAGGAATTTACATGTGCATGTTTTCATTTCATTTATTTATCTCTGTAATTTATTAATTTGGTGTAATTCCAGGGGGATTATGGTCCCTTTCATCCACAATTAGCAGCTCAAGTTCCGCTCTGGTTAGCGGTGGCTTTAAAGAAGAGAGGGAAATGCACAATCAGGCCGCCTCAGTGGATGTCAACTGGTGAGTTTTGAACCAAGATTTGATTAGTTTCCTGCTTGTCTTTCAATCAGTTGTTTATCCCAGAGTTTTAGGAATTTTATCTGCTTCTCTTGTATCTGACAGGTGGTAGATTGTTGGCTCCAATCTCTCATTGTTTTCTTTGTAAATTTTTTTCCCTCCTGGATTAGAAAGCCTGGCTCAGGTTTTGGAACTGGAAAGAGACTCTCACGCATTTCAGCCATTACCCTTTCATTACTTGGAAATCTCAAGACTTCTTTTCGATCAGTAACTACTCAAACATTCTTAGTTTATTCCACACTTCAGTGCTGACAATATTGAATGTCAACTCTAACTTTCTGAATGCAGTGCACGCGAGGATATTCCCGACATGTACATGGTGAGCCTCTATGATTCCTTCATCTTTTTCAGTTATGTGTTTGGCACAAATTTCATATTTACCTGTTCGTAGGTGAGGTCACTTATCGAGGATATCAGAGATGTAAGATTTCATAAAGTAGAGACCAATTTAGAAAAGTTCACAGCATCTACAGTAACGGTATGCTTGATATGTCTCTTTATCAATTCAGTGACCTTATACCCTTTGAAAGTTGTATATTCTTTCTAGATGTGATATTGTTGGCGAGAATGATCTCCCTTATGCCGGGACGTAATAGAATGTTCTATTATCGCATCTATCTAAAATCTCTGTTATTGAAATAATTGTTAATAAGAACCTTCCAATAAAGTGTGCTATTTTTATTTGTATTTTAACAACATGAATGTGATCTAAACCACTTCACCTGACTGAATAATGGTGGATGCATCAAGAAATTAATTTAGATGCAAGACTTAGAGAATCTGGCAGTGTCCCCAAGTGCTTCCATGGGAGATATAGATTGTGAAATCAGGGGTAAAAAATCTTTTTCTTTCACCCTTCTCACAGAATTCAGTGTTCTGATAAAATTACTTCTTTAACCAAAGAAAGGCAACGGGATAAAAGTACCTGACCTTTTCCACTTAAGGAAATATATAAATATAAAAGAAGTATCTCTCACTGAAAATTCATGATGGTGTCTTGCATGCTAGAGCAGCCTCCTTGCTGCCCACATGCAAACAGCAACCAAACTTCATAGCTGAGTCGATTTTGCGACTGTTATCAAATGTCATGAGGTTCTAGGTTTGCCTATTCGCAGGGTTACCAGAAAGCTATTTGTCAGTTGTCGGATGTAGTACTAGATTCATTCTTCATTATGTTGTGATCTACTTTATCTTTGTTAGATCATGCATTCTGCTGTTCTATAAAGTGATCTCTTGAATTTGATATTGCAGTGGAAAAATATGTCTGCAATGGAAGTCAATATAATTCGTGCATTTGCTGGGAGGGCTCTGCAGGCGTTTTATAAGCATGATAACGAACAGCAAGCACCAGATACAGATAGAATGCTAGATAAACAGCCACAGATACCTGCTGACAGGCCAAAAGTATGCTATTTCTTAATGTCAGATTTACATGTTTGTGCACGGGGTCGTATTTGTTCCTTTTATTTTGTTATCATGCGATAGAGAAATGTGTTAGTGCAGTGGTGAATGATGGTCAAGCTTTTTCTGCAATGCCGAGTGCTTCTTCACTCTTTACCTCCTAATCATTGACAAAAAAAAAATCGTGAAACAGTGAAAAAGAATTGGTGGACTATTATTTTAAAATGCTATGCCACTAGCTTAGGTTTCCGTCATTTAACTAATTTTCTGGCTATGCAGCACAATTTGAAGCCTCGATAAGAAGTCATTATGTACTTGAATTCCCTTCTGATCTCAACCTGAAAAGAGTACATTCCGCAGGTGACCGCAGAAGGTATTTCAGCTTCTTTGACCTTTCTCAAAAAAAAAAAAAAAACAATTCCTGTCCCATAACAGTAGATTTTATGTAGAACCCCTTTCAGCTCCATATGTGCACGGTACCCCCCCCCCCCCCCCCA